ATGAGAAACTTCTCCCCCGTACTATCTGTCAGAGGGAGGGGAGCGGCGGGCGCAGCTGCAGCTATGGGAACATGTTACATGCTCCATCCTGAAAATGGGTGGAACATGTAACATGTTCCCAAAGATGAGAACTTATCTTTTAAAGTGGTTGTAAACCCTTACATATACCCAGTGAAGTGACTGGCTGAGGTGATACACAGAGATGAGACAAATCCTCCTACATGAGTTGTACCTGTTTAGCTGTAGCATTCTGCCCTTTTTAAGTCCACAGTGGTGCGAAAAAAACTAAAACCCAATAAGTGAACAAAAAAGGTGCAGATGCCGAAACACCACACCCTTAGCCGTGTGCTTTGTCCAACCCCCGAAGGGGTAGGACCTCTACCCTGTTCCCCCAGGGTGCAAGTTTCCTGACAGGGACAAGGTTTCCAGCATGATCTAATGACACACTTATGCAAACTTCGAACAACTGACGCACCTATTCCTACCTAGAATTATTGACAAACCTCTTCAGCTTCAGAGAAGACTCTGAGATATCAAAGAGGAGTTCCAGTTGATTTAAAAAAAAGAATAAAAGTCAGCAGCTACAAAAACTGTAGCTGTTGACTTTTAAAATACAGACACTTACGATCCCACGATCCAGCGGTGTCCTCACCATCACTGGTTTCACCTGCCATCTTCTCTGTAGGATTATAACTTTTTTTTTTCTTTTTTTTTATGGTTGAACTGGATGGACTTTTGTCTTCTTTCAGCCAGACTAACTATGAAAGTTAATATATTTACATGTGCAATATGTGTCTTGCTACTACAGCTTTCTGTATTTTCATCAATAAAACAGTTGTGGGGTTGTACAAAAAGTAATGCAAGGGTTGTATAAAAATGATACAAAAGTGGGCATAAAATTTTTATTAACTTACATAGGGTGTTCAAATTTCACATGTTGGTAGAGTAACTTTCTCTTTAGTGACTCCTAACAACATGCTTTCATTGAGTTCTTGATGAAGGAGGAGTGCAGGCTCTCTGACATCCACAGAAGACTACAGAGCGATTATGGAGATGACACCATTGACAAGAGTCACCAATGACAGGATATCTTGTCAGTGGTCTTATCTCTGTAAACTTTCTGTAGTCTTCCATGTTGGACAGTCTGCACCTCCCTTCATCATAAACTCAATGATGGCACGTTGCTTCTACTTGGAAACCATTATTTACCTGCAATGAAAATGAAGAAGAAGGGTTACTGTAGAGAACGAGCTATTCATTCTACCAACATGTGAAATTTGAACGAGATATGTAAGTTAATAAAGCTATGCCCACTTTTCAGTACATCCCTAGTACATTGTGATTTTAGCACATGAATGAAATGTCCATGGATGAAATTGTATAGGTGCAAAATTTTGTGATATCTTAGTGGTAGATAGGAATATGAGGTGATATGTGACGCTTGATATAAACTGTTAGCGGCCCTGTGTAAAGTCCAGATCATGTCACTTTCATAAGTGGAGTCAAGTATTCCTTGTTCAGAGTGTGGTGTAATTTATGTCATCTTCTACTTGTGTTTTCCACAATCCTTAGCTTGTTTGACGGATCTTTCTGTTTTTTGAGTTCAATCTCTCTCTCTAATCTTCCTACCCTTCCCACACTGCTTCGCGTCATTGATTTCAGTGTACCAAACATCTGTTCCCTGTTTTTTCGGAGGTGCTTGGTACAATCTGCCTGCGCCTTTTTCCATATACTTTCCCATTATTATTATTATTATTATTATTATACAGTATTTATATAGCGCCAAAGGGTATGCTCAGCGCTGTACAGTAGCAGGGGGGACAGAACATGAGACAAGACAGTAACAATACAATACACGAGGGGTTCGAGGGCCCTGCTCTTTCGAGCTTACAATCTAGGAGATTGTAAGCTCGAAAGAGCTTACAATCAGTGTGTGCTGTCTCTTTACAGACCCTGATGATGCAGTTTGTGTTTCCCCTTTTACATATACATGTACTGTGTTTCTTGAACAGTCTCTCCCTCCCCGGCAATGTCCCTACTTCCAGGGCATTGATGGCCTTTCTCTCTGGCTCTGCTTGATCTCCAGCTCCCCCAGCCTGCACAGAAAGAGCCTGGGATTAGGCTATGTACAGTGTCTGCTGAGCCACAGAAATGAAAATATTTGGATAGGTTGTGATGTGAAGTTGATGATATTTACATGTTATTAGGCTTCAGTCCTCACATGAAAGGCCAGGCACCAGTCAGATGTGCTCTGCTCTTCATCACCTCCTCAAGCTGTCACTGGCAGCATTCCATCCCCTTCCTTGTTTGTTTGCATTAATTAAGATGTGAAATTAATCATTGTGACTTTTTCTCTTAAAAGATTAGTCAGAGTTCAGTGTCAGGCTAGGAATTGGACTGCAGGGTGCAGGTGTGCGGCTGTTTGTGCGTCTGCTGATAAGAGGTATTTATCTGTGTAGGCGTGAGGACAGACGGACACACGGTTTTCATAAACCCCACCTTTCCTGATAACTGATGCTTTTATCTGAACTAGTGAAAGGTGGACACTTATATTCCACTCTAACTGAGGAGAAACAAGTAGAAAATGGAGCTTGTGATGTCACTTCCTTTTAGCATTAAACACACATAAATCTGTCACGTTGCATCTTCCTGCTGCATCTGGTCTGCTCCAAAAATGACAAAAAATAGAACTGGCTAGACCTGGTCCTCATTTCCCCCGGAGTTGACCCTGGCTAAATTGCAGAGTCTCTTATTAGCACAGATTGCCTGTGTCAATTTTATGTTTCCATGAAAATGGTAGAGGACTATATTGCATCACTTTGGTCAGCTTGCAAATTGCTACAATCAATTATATATCTAGGGTATACATGCTGCAGAGTGGTCATGGTAGCACCCCCTTCTATGAGTAAGGTCAGTGGAGAAGTAGCTCCTTACATTGACAGTGGTGAAGTAGCTCCTTACATTGATGGTCAGCGGAGAAGTAGCCCCTTACATTGATGGTTAGTGGAGAAGTAGCCCCTTACACTGGTGGTCAGTGGAGAAGTAGTCCCTTACGTTGGTGGTCAGTGGAGAGGTAGTCCCTTACGTTGGTGGTCAGTGGAGAAGTAGTCACTTGCGTTGGTGGTCAGTGGAGAAGTAGCCCCTACATTGATGCTCAGTGGAGAAGTAGCCCCTTACATTGATGATCAGTGGAGAAGTAGCCCCTTACATTGATGGTCTGTGTGGAAGTAGCCCCTTACATTGGTGGTCAGTGAAGAAGTAGCCACTTACATTGATGGTCAGTGATGAAGTCCTCCCTTACACTGGTGGAAAATGATTAGGTACACCCTTATGATGGTAGCCACAGTTGAAGAGTCTCCTTAATTTGGTGCTCAGTGGTGAAGTGCCCTTTTACATTGGTGGTCAGTAATACAGTGCCTGCATGCTAGACCCAGAAAGTAAATAACACAACACCAAGTTCACTATATGCACCACCCAGGGGTGGACTGACCATTTGGAAACTCGGGCACTGCCCGAGGGCCCGGGGTCAGTAGGGGGCCCCATGAGATGCCCCTGGTACCTTTTTCATAGGCTTTTTTGAGTTTGGGTAAGGACACAGGGGCCCCATGATCCCCTATTGCCCGGGGGCCCCTTGAGTTGTCAGTCCGCCCCTGGCACCACCTATGCATTTATACATGTTGATTTTTATCACCTCTTCTCAGGAGAGAATAAATTCAGTTCCTCTAATCTTCCCTCATAGCTGAGCTCCTCCATGCCTCTTATCAGTTTGGCTGCCCTTCTCTGAACTTTCTCCCTTTCCCCAATATCTTTCTTTGTGATTTGAAACTGAACTGCATATTCCAGATGATTACTAATGTTTTTCTCTTTCTCTGAAGTCTACAAGTCTTTAAGTTCAACAAAGTATAAAGTACACATATAAACGATAGCAAATGTGCATGGGCCAATTATTCAAAATGTAACATTTATTTTACATTCATTTCCTAACCCATGATCATAAGCTTAACTCTAATTTAACAGAAGTCTGTCTTGAGACTTGTTGATCCTCTTTTTTTAGTAGTTAGTCAATGACCTGGAACAAGTATGCAGATCAGGACTTCTGACTTTTCTCTGACTTTCCTGATTTGTATACTTTTCCAGGTCAGGGACTCAGAAAGCATTGCAACCTGCAATTCTGCATACTGGCCAGACAACTAGCATTTTCTGAAGATCAGTGATGGCAGGTCTACTCATGGTCCCTTCATGATATTTCCTTATTCCCTTAACGTCTTTTCCAAGAATAACATAACATGGTAAGCTACACTATATTGCCAAAAGTATTGGTCGGCCTGCCTTTACATGCACATGAAATTTAATGGCATCCCAGTCTTAGTCCGTAGGGTTCAGTATTGAGTTGACCCACCCTTTGCAGCTATACCAGCTTCAACTCTTCTGGGAAGGCTATCCACAAGGTTTAGGAGTGTGTCTATGGGAATGTCTGACCATTCTTCCAGAAGCGCATTTGCGAGGTCAGGCACTGATGTCTGACAAGAAGGCCTGACTCGCAGTCTCCGCTCTAATTCATCCCAAAGTGTTCTGACGGGTTGAGGTGCAAGCCAATCAGTTCCTCCACCCCATACTCGCTCATCCATGTCTTTATGGTCCTTGCTTTATGCACTGGTGCACAGTCATGTTGGAACAGGAAGGGGCCATCTACATACTGTTTCCACAAAGTTGGGAGCATAAAAGGGGCCAAGCCCAACCCCTGAAAAACAACCCCACACCATAAACCCCCCTCCACCAAACTTTACACTTGGCACAATACAGTCAGGCAAGTACCGTTCTCCTGGCAACTGCCAAAACCCAGACACGTGTCCATCGGATTGCCACACAGAGAAACGTGAGTTGTCACTCCAGAGAACACGTCTCCACTTCTGTAGAGTCCAGTGGTGGCATGTTTTACACCACTGCATCTGACGCTTTGCATTGCACTTGGTGATGTAAGGCTAGGATGCAGCTACTCGGCCATGTAAACCCATTCCATGAAGCTCTCTACGCGTTGTTGTGCCAATCTGAAGGCCACACAAAGTTTGAAGGTCTTTAGCTATTGACTCTGCAGACAGTTGGTGATTTCTGCTCATTGTACGCTTCAGCATACGTTGACCCATCTGTCATTTTATGTGGCCTGCCACTCATCGCTGAGTTGCTGTTGTTTCCAGTAGCTTCCACTTTGTTATAATACCACTAACAGTTGCCCGTGGAATATTTAGTAGTAAGGGAATTTTACAGATGGACTTATTGCACAGGTGGCAACCTATCACGGGACCACGCTTGAATTCACTGAGCTCCTGAGAGCAACCCATTCTTTCACAAATGTTTGTAGAAGCAGTCTGCATACCTAAGTGCTTGATTTTATACACCTCTGGCCATGGAGGTGATTGGAACACATGAATCCAATGATTTGGAGGGGTGTTCTAATACTTTTGGCAATACTGTATAGTGTATTTTCAAATATCATTCTGTTACTTCACTTGCACTCAAAGTATTGGTGCCCAGGACTAAAGCTGGGCATATACTCACCTATATCTGCAGGCAGGACAAAATAAATCTAACAGATTCCTCCATCCATGCTAAACAGCGTGGATGGATGAAGATCCTGCTGTGGCTATTGAATTCTGACAGTTGGCACCTGCAGTTGTCAAAATACCCAAACAGTGCCTGCATTAATTTGTGTAAAGCCCTCTAGCTTAGCTAGGTATTATTTTTTTGTTAGGGGCAGAGAAGCAGCCTGGGATGAGTCAGCCTGGGAGTGAGTTTGTGAGGTCACCTCAGGACAGGCTGGGAGGCTCTAATAGATCAGGGCTTCTCTGAAGCCCTCCCACCATTATGGAGAGTGGAGAACTTTCTGGAACAGCGGAATGGAGGGGAGAAGGCCCAGATCTGCATGTTTGAGGGACCTTGGCCAATGCACTGGCAGGAGGCAGGGCATGATGACCAAGGCAACCCTTAAATATCACAGAGCCTGGAGGGCAGTAGGCAGTGTAGGGTTGAAGATGGAGTGAGGAAGGCTGGAGTGTGTAGCCTGGGAGAGGGCTCCAGGGAGGGGGTCTACCTACAGGCAACTTGCTGGAAAATAGGTTCTCCACTGTGCCACCGTCTCCTGGGGAGGACATCCTGAGCAGCAGGGAAGGAGCCAGCCCAGCAAAAAGCCTGAAGGCAGCCACCAACCCTGACAGGAAAGAACAGTGTGAGTACTCTTACACCCCTTGGGCTGGATAAGGGGAGAGGGCAGTCAGGTGCAAGACCCAACAAGCTTCTCATCCAGGACTGCTTGTGCTAAATTGGCATCTAATAATCCAGTATAACAAGGCTACTGAACACAAGTCCTAAGATTTTCTTTCAGACATTAAATAGTACTTATAAAGGCCATTTCAGATTGAATGAACAAGCCATAAAAAGTATCAGGTTGTGGCTTCTTATGCTGAGAAAATAAAAGAAATGGAGGAGAGGAAGACTTCCTTGTGGGTGAGAATAATGTGTTTAGACTCAGAGAATGAGTATAAAGATGGCATATGTCCAAGAGTCTGAAACAAGGAATGGGTTCCCTCTTATTGTAAATTAAAACTGAGACTTTCACTCAGAGGATAACGAAAACCCGAAAGTGACAAAATAAAGGCAGTTTTCCAACACCGCTGTTTTCTTTAACATCAGCCTATACTTGCATGCCTGTGTGCAGACAGAGTAGTCAAGGAAGACACCATTTGCCATTCATTTAGCTGAAATCTTTCACAAGCTTTATCATACTGATGCTATCTTTATTTCATTACCTTCTACCCAAAATTTATATTTGTGGTTCCCTTTTAAAGGGGATTTAAACCATATATCATGTTGTTTTCAAACGATACAGAAGTACCAAAACTTGTCCTCTGTAATGTGGTATGTATTGTGACAAACAAATGACCGTAAACATTAAAATAGATAAAAGATAAATACCACACATCAGATCCATTTATATTATCTGCCTCATCCAGCTTGTCCATCATAGTGAACCTTGCTAAAGCAATAAAAGCCAAACACTGGAAAAGACAAATTAATATTGCTAGATGAGATGACATGATAGTATTGTGCTATTAGCCCTTGGAATAAAGCAGTGGTGGGCCATGCATTTCAAATCTACGCTGCCCATAGATTATTCGATTCTTTCTTTCTTTCGAAAATTGCTTGATTCCCCCATCAACACAGTCAGTGTTGAAGGGGCAATGCCTCCAGCAGTGCTGTTGCATTCTGCCGCTGGCCAGGGGGAGCGGGATTAGGGGCGTGGGGAGCCTTCCCTGCTGGCAAAATACAATGATTATTGCTAGCTGCTATAGCTGTTGGCAGTAATTGGATGAAAAACAATCAGACAGGCTGGTTGTACCCAGGTCAATTGATGGCTAGACTTTGGTACAATCAGCCTTGCCCGTGCATAGATTGAAATTTGGCTGGTTCCTGGTAAACCGGCCAAATTTTGATCCATGTATGGCAGGCTCTAGGCTTTCAGCGATGTCCTACCTGAAATAATCCAGCCATTTTTGGCTGTAACTTTAAAAATTCAGCATTGTACACCTGCTAGATGGCCCAGTGTTGCCAACTCAAAATCTTATTGGTTAAAGCTACAGTTTCTTTTACTGTAAATCACAGGTGCCAGCACTGTTGACTCTAAAGGCCTCAAGGCAGATCTCTTTGACTCGGGCAACACGTGTGGCTATCTTGGCTTAATTATGATTGGATAAAAGCTCTAACATACACTATTGGAAACAGCAAAGCCAAAAGAAAGCTATGAAATGGACAGAATAGACTATTGGGAATAGTACATTTGATGGAGAAAAGGGGATCTTACCATTCACCTCTCTTCTTTCTTCTCCTCAATTTAATGTCTGTACTGTCAACCCCTTAATCCCACCCCTCCTTCCCAGAACACCCTGAACCCCACAGGCTTACACACTCTTGCACTGGTAATATGAGAGACACAATATACTTATAGACAACCCCAAGACATCTGTTTAATTGGAAATGTCTATACTATCAGGCACAATGTCAGTATCTAATAGTACCTGAGAGTGTATAGGTGTGGAGAATACTTCACAGCCTTCTTCTTCCAGTGTCCCCCTCTTATCTCCTGATAAGACATATTGTGTGGAGATGCTCTGCACATGCTCAGTTTGGTGTGTATTGCTAGAGAGGCTTTTTTTTTGGGAGAGTGCATGTGATCAGCACAGGGCCAATAAACATTTTCCAGACAGAGGTCAGGGGTTCTGCACCCTCCTAGAGCAGAAAGAAAACTCCTCTTACAAGCTTTAACCAGTGCTCTGCTGAAAACTGATAGAAGTCACAAGACTGCTCTAACTGCTAATGAGAAAAGGTTTTTAGCAGTTTATATTTACTAAAATAATTGCATTTCCAAGTTCTGTGTACTGTGGGAGATAAGATAGAGTGAACGCAGGGTCCTGGGTTTAGTAACACTTTAAAGTCAACATTTTTTGCTAAATGAGCTGTTAGTAGCAGAACGTATATGCTGTTGTGGTTGATTGATCATGTACCTCCTTTGGGCTTCCTCCTCGTACTGCCCCCTGGCCTTGCTGCCCGACTTCAGATATATGGGTGCCCCCTGTGCCCTCCAGGACCTATACAGTCCCACCAGATTCTCCAGTTTGTGAGTGCTCCTTTTAGAACTCCAGTCTTATTTGCAGCTGTTCCCAGCACTGCACACACAGGCTGAGTATGTGGGACACAGAGTTAAAGCCATGCCTTTCCAGAGCAATGGTGATTGACAGCAGCTTCCAAGTCAGCTTGGCTTTGCTTCTGTGTCCCTCTTAGAAAGGGGCACCCACAAACCTTGAATTCTGGCAGCAAGACTGAGGGGCAACATAAAGAAGAAGCTCATAGGAGAAACTTTCTTAAGCTCATTTGGAAAAAAATGTATTTTAATATCCCTTTAACAATGTGCCAGCTCACATGAGGTCACTTGGCTTGTAGACAACCCCCAAGGTCTGGTTCATGGAAGCTCTACTAGTGACCTTAGTAACGTTATGGTTGGCCCTGTCTCCTGTTTTTGGTCCTTTGGTAATAGCCAGTAGTAAAGTCTGAATATGATAACAAATAATGTAACGAACAAGAAACATACATTCCAGATTAATAATTATGCTACCAAAATGAGTGTGTGCTGTAAATTGCATTGTTCCTGTTTCTTCTTGCTGGAGGCTGCCATTTGGTTTTAGCCCAGAGTCCTGAGCAGCAGTTAATTTTTAGTCTATCAGCAGATTGACCTCTACAAATTCGGCACAGCGTTGAAAAATAGAGAGAAAATAAGTATGTGCAGAGCAGGGTGAGGCCATGTATTACTGGATTTTAAATAGTATAGACACTTATTTTTAATGTTTTACATAGCTATACCTGCAAAATGGGCCAGCCTGAAGTGATCTAGCAGGACTTAATTTTCTGACTAAAGTTCCACTTTAACATGTAAATGTCCACATTTATAAACACCTCCTCTGTTGTAGCTCACAAGCCTCACAGACTGCTGTCTGCAGACATGGCAGACAGAAAATATTCTATGCTGATCACATATACTATTGTAATCTTGTGGTTACTAGTACTTTCCCCTCTGTGGCCAGTATGACATTACGATGGTGTTCCGGAATGTTTATCAGTTACATAACGCCATAATACTGATTGGAAGTGTTTAAAATTAGATTGATGTCTTATTTTGTAGTACAGGATGGCGGATTACTTAACTGTGTAAAAAATAGATTGATATCTTATTTTGTGGAATGGTAAAAAGACAATGGTGGATTACCTAAAGTGTATCTGAAGTGAGTCTCAATTACCTAATAAAAAGTGAAAAAAAATACCTTTTAATTTATTTCTACTTTAAGTGAAAATACCTTTCCTTGTGTCTATTTGTGCACTGTCATGTAACCACAGCAGTTCTGGAGTAGATCTGGTGAGAGGAGGGGGGGGGGTCTGTACTGCCTGGCTAGTTATGGTCTGGTGTCCTGCTGTGAGCTATGCATGAGCTAATGCGCATGTCTAAACCTGTGGTTAGCATTGACACAGAAAAGAAACATTAATTCACAGTTTTAAATGCTGTCAGGATCACTGAGTAACTGGAAATGTTTGGACAGCACAGAATTAGGAAAAAAGCATAATTCTGCAGGTGGACCTCCATAATTGGCCATTTTGTATTTTTGGTCTTGTTGTTCCAAGAAAAAGGAAAGATCTTGCCTGTCACATTTTTGTATTTCAGTTCTCATTTCTGCCTTGCTAAACTGAGAAATATTGTGTGTGTTTTTTTTCAGTAATAGTTGTGCAAGAAGAGACCTAGGTGGTGTGCCTATTGCTGGTGATTGTGCATGGA